AAAAAGTGTTATACCGCCAAATTTGAAGTGGCTAATCGATCAGAAAGAAAGAATACTTAATTTAGAACATTTCTGTGAAATTTCATGCTTGTATCACTAAGTGAACAATTTTGCAAAAAAAATGATGTTAGCCGCTACACTATATCACATATTTGCGATTTCTTATTATACTTGCCATTCTGATTCATTGTTTTCATTTTTGAAAAAAAAAAAAAAAANAGAGGAGGGGGGGCGGGGGTATGGTGGGCATACCATCGCGGGGTGGGAGTGAAGGGTGTATTATCGGAACGGGAGAATCATTTCGAAGCGCACTTGTTGGGATTTTGGAGGTATGGTGGTGATAGAACTAATTTCTTGTTATTATTTTCAGCCTCTTTGTGTTGTCCAATGAATCCATCAACATCTGGTCTCATTTAGTTGGATTTTTGTATTTTTTTTACCTCCTTCTTGTTGACAACTTGGTCAGAATTCCAGATCACAATGGCACTTTCTCTGATCATGCCGTACTGACTTCTCTACTCATCGGTTACATGGTGAGATATAAATCTGATAATTTCTAACCAAACAATAACATAATGTACTCAACACCTTAGAGGCACGGCGGCCTAACGGTAAGTGCACTGCACTCCAGACCCTGCAAAATAGTGTTTTTTTAAATCTTGATTTCCATGGCACACTTCTGGATGCAAATAATACATTCCATGGTTTTCATGTTTCATTTGCGATAACTATAGACAACCGCAATTAGTCGTGAATGATCTACCTTTCACTGGTTATGTACCATGACTGACTATAAAATTTTATTCACCCTTCTTTTAGATTTCCATGTTTTTTTCTGCCTTCTACCATTTGTTTTGCTGTCACTCTGAGAAAATGTTTCACCTTTGGCTGTCGCTGGATCTGGCTGGTATCTCACTTGGTGTATGTGCTTGTTACATTCCTGCAGTGTACTACGCATTCTACTGTCATGCAGTAAGTACGTGTATACCTAGTGTAATTGCTTTAGAGTCTTATCTTCCTGTAGCTACCACTTCTCAGCTCACTATTGTTGAATTAAGGTACAATGAGATTTTGAACAAATGCTAAAATAGGAAAATTTAATTTATAGAAGAATCCAAGGTTATACCTGAAAGTGGTTTTGAGAATGTCAGAGGAATTTAGAAAATGTGAGCTAAATTTCTCAAGCTCTCAGATTGTTTTGTGGCAGTATCATATGGCTTTAGCTTTATAAAATAATATTAAAATGCTTAATGTGATATTAATTCATTAAAAGCATGCAGAACAGGATAAACACTTCTGATAAAAATAGCATTTCAATCAATCAGTCATGCACAGAATCTAAACAGTAAAACAATGGGCTGTGACTAAAAGTGGGACGGGGACTTGGGGACTGGGACATGGGACTTGGGATGCGGGGACGTGGCGACGTGGGGACGCGGGGACTCGGGGACTTGGGGATGCGCGGACGTGGGACGCGAGCACGCGCGGGGACTAGAGGATGTAGGACGTAGGGACTTGAGGATGTGATAAACAAACAACACCTGATTTTTGCGCTGAATTTGTAAAATACAATTTTCGGCAGTCAAGTGAAAGGTAATCTAATATGCTGGAGAGTTTGTCAGCAGACCAGTAGCTCATGATTTCCAGCATATATTAGGGACCAGCACCGACGACGACGAGCTCAGAGGACGACAACCGGAAGTAAAATTTCCCCTTACCATGCTACTATGCATGCTTGACTCGTTGTCCTTGTGAAGTTCAGGACGTCAAAACGTCAGGTTTGCCGTCCTGAGCGAACATGAGTATGTATTAATCTATTTACGCAGTGTTTCAGCCAGAAAATTTATAT